CGCCGCCGCCTGAGGCGTAGCAGAAGTTAATTAACGTAATCTGTCACTGCTTGGAGCTGTTCATCCTGCAGAGGGATTTGCCCTCTTGCGATTATTCTTCATGGTTTCCAACACGTCTGAGACTCGTTTCTTGAAGTGGGGTTTTGACTGTTCTCTCGTGTTTGTGTGTTCGATCGGGAAAACAGAACGTGTTTTTCACATTCAAAGAAGCTTCATTTTCATAGCAAAATCGTTCTGTCCTTAAGCTTCTTTAAAACTAGTCTTGATTATTAGGATAAAATGTCAGTATGTTTGGAGATGTGTGAGAGTACGATTTGGTTGTGAATAACAATCTACTGATTATAAGGATTTGGCTGGTGTGTCACCGTGCTTTTGTTGATAATTTGGTTATCTGTATAACATTAAATTTAATTCTTAAATTCTTTTATTAATGGTGGATATGCTTTCGGGCATTTTTGTTTTCTTTTTTTAACTTAGTTGACACAATGACAGACTTTGAAAGGAACCTCCATCAGGACATGATTTCTCAGCTGCATAATTTTGCGGCTGTTGGAGATGCAGCCAAATTGAAAGCATTGCTCAGTCATTCTCCGTCGCTTATCAATGCAGCTGCAGATAACGGCTGGACAGAAAATGGACACCCTGAGGTTGTGCGGATTCTTCTTGAAGAAGGGTAAGCTGTTCAGTAGATACCATTGAAGAGCTGTAACCTGAATCCCTTTGTGCCCATTTCAACTTGGTGTAAGGAAAGTAAACTTACCTGACAGATAGTGGCAGAATTTTCAGGGTTAAAACTCGGGAAAATATACTCTGTGTCCATTTATAACTAAATTCAGCTATTGCATCATGTTTTCCATGTTAGCTACCAAATTCTTTAAAAGTTATGAGCGTCTCTGAAATTATTCCTTTGATCTTCAAGTACATAATGTCAATCCTCCGAGCGACCAACAAAATAGGACAAAGTTTGTATCCCATTCCAACTACTGTACTAAGTATAAACTTGGTATATTTGATTGTTCCAGTTAGACTTTTTCTCTAAACTTTATTTGTAATCGACTTGCATCTACGTTACAGTGCAGAATGATTGCTGATGTACTGCTGTTCAGTAGGACATGATGGACACACCTTTACCAAAGTTACTGATTGATGAATTTCATTTGTCTCTTATTTTTTGGGCAGTTCACTTCCTCATTCTTCCTTGAGCTGCCACATTATTTTCTTCAGTCAGTGTGGCATGCAGCATGTTCATTGCTTTTCAAAAACTTGCTATTGCATTTGTTGTCTATCTTCAAGTCAACTTGTTCAAGTTTTTCAAGATACTCAGAAAAGCAAAGAATGCTTTAGCGTTCTCCTGGAGACCCCAAGGAAGATTATTCTGAAGCCTGAATAGAGTCAGGATCCAAATATTTCAAATGGGAAACATTTCAAAATGGTGAGAGTCAGGTGTTGCAGTTCAGCTGAGCTCTACATTAACCAAGCCCAGTCTGTTCCTTTCTGCACCCAAATTACAGAACCAGCCAAGTTTAGTTTATTCTGTGGTTATGAGTAATCTCGGGCACAGCATTACACATCCTCCAGTGGTCATCCCACCCCTTTTTTTTCAGTCCTACCCACATGCTGTGCCCTCTGCTGGAGCTCAGCATGGACCATCAGATCAGCTGCTGTTTTGTACTGTCATCAGTACGTTCCAGCATGTAGAGGAGTATCTCAATGATAGATTTTGTGGATTGAAATCATATATGTATTGAGGAATCTTTGAAATTTTAAGGAATTTAGCAGTCTGGCAAATAGCATAACAGTTTTTTAAGTTACACTTACTGTAAAATAAGAGTGAATATCCACTTGTAAATATCCTTTTCAGGCCTGTTCTCTTAGGCGATTGAATGTAGTTCCTGAGGTGATACTGTGGCCTCATTGGTCTCATTTTAGTTAATGCTTAGTCATAATAATCATTTGGACAAATATAGTTGCTAGATATATAAACGTGAATGTCTATGAAGGTAATACTGCATAAAATTCCAGAGACTAATCATGGAAAGCTTGTCAATTTTTTTTTTATATTAATCCTTATTTGAGAAAGCTACAGGAAATGTTTGTAGACCCCAAAAAAAGATCTTAGTGACTAAAGAGTTCAGGCTACCATTGTGGACCCTGAATGGCAGCCTGATAATGTACCTGAGCAGGTAGAAGTGGGAAGACAAAAGCAGAACAAAATTCAGTAGCTGAAACAGTGTTGGCTGTGATAGAGTTATCTATATATCAGCAACATGAATATACTGGCATCATCTGGTTTTAAAAACTGACGAGTCTGGCCCCATATCTACGGTATAATTTGTAGTTTACAGTGAAATTTCTGTTGTACTTGTCCACTTGAGTTAAAATTGACAAAAAAATGGAAATGCATTATTTTTGATCTCCTAGTCAACTCGGATCTATTTCAGATATTGTTCGTCGTTGTTGTTAATATTTAAATATATATCATGAGGCAGTATTTCCTCACCCGTGTCATTTTGGTAGCAGAGATCCCTACAGGGACGAGCACCACAGCTGTAAGGGTGCTGCTTCTTTCACTAAGGAGAAGCTGTATTCTTGATTCTTTTTTAATGGTAAATATTTTCTTGTAAATGTTTTGATGCTGCTTTTGGTAGGTTCTAGAAAGTAATGCTAGTTAAACTGCTTTTTTTTTTTTTTTATTACTCATTATTCAGAAGGTGTAGCCTGGCTTTCAAAGTTCTATTGGTAAATGATCTTAGGCTCTTTTTTTTTTAATGCATGATACAATGTGTGGGATTTTAATTAATTTGTTGCTGTTGTAGTACTGCATGAACCTTGGTAAGTGATAATCTGGAGTGGATCAACAAAAATGTGGAATCTGGCCTTAGCAAAAGAAAATTAAATAGGATTACTTTTCATTAACATAATGCTAAGTATTTAGCCTAAATACTGCTCCCGTATAGACAGAGCATCTAAAAGTTCTTGACCTTAATAGTATCAGATGTATATGCTCTACGTACAAATAATACAGCATCAGGACTCTTTCTAGACATATTTACCCTGGTAACAACTGTTCTTCTCTGTTTCTCGAGGTGTGACAGGTCCATCGTTAATAAATCAAGGCAGACAGCTCTGGACATTGCTAAATTTTGGGGATACAATCACATAGCTAATTTGTTGGCTAATGTGAAGGGTGGGCAGAGGCCTAATTTTCTGTCAAATGACATGAAAGAATATGAAAATTATTTTGGCTTGACACTTCTGGACAGAAGGAGTGATAAAAGAATAGATTCCCAATGGTTAAGCAAAAAACAAAACCATCCAACTACAGTGTACATCGTCTTCTCAAATCTAAGTCCTTTCGTTACTTTGGGTGGCAGAATAGAGAGTTCCCAGCAGCCAGAAGTAAAGCTTTGCAGGCTGTACCACAAGGATGTGGAGCAGTGCATGAACCGAACTGAAGAAGGCACCTTGATTTTTCTTGGAGTTGAACTTCAGTTCCACATGAACCTGCTGCCTGCTTGCAATGGAAGAGTTCTGCAAGAAGATGAAGAGGATGGGTTAGTTGCTTGGTTTGCTCTTAGCGTAGATTCTGCTGCTGCTGAGAAATTTAAACAGAAGCACAAGGACTGTTACTTTCTTCACCCGCCAATGCCGGCACTACTGCAGCTACCTGAAAAAGAAGCTGGTAAGATGCACAAAATGCAGCAGTTATCAAATGTGTAATCAGAAGGATACACTTTGGGATTCATTGAGGTGTCATGCAAGGAGAAACCACTGCAAAGGAATCTTGTGTTTTCGGTGGCTTTAGAAATATTTTAGTTTGCAAAGCCCATCAGTGGGTTTGTGAAGAATTTTGTATGTAAGAACATGTGCATGTGCAAAGGATTAACATCTGCAATGGCAAGTATTAGACTGTAAAATCTATTGTTCATCATGGTTTTATAAATGGTACTATTTAAATAATAATGCACATGCATTAGTGTTCTAAAACAAAAAAGTATGCCATTACTGAGTTTACATTACAAGAAATTAAACTACATTCGTAATTAGACTGTGTTGGATATTCATCTGAGAAGGAAACGGTGTGAGCATGTGTTGGAAAGTCAGGATCCCAAAGTGAATGAACGTCATTATGGACATGTTAACAGCTGCTGTTTGAACAATTTTGCTTTTGCAGAAGGATAAAGGGCAAGCTTGACTTGCATCTGAAGTTTAAATGGAACAATACTTATGTCAATACCTGTAATAGCTCTAAAATGGTCATCTGGAAAAGGTGTGATACATAATTCTGGCACTTTACCCAGGCAAAGTAACTTTTGCAAGAAACAGGATATATTGATCCAGATGAATTTGGTTCTGAACACATAAATTGGTCTGTAGTTATACAGTAATTTGTTCTATTGCATATGCTGTGCTACAGAGAAAAAGATCTGAATAACTCATATTGCTTAACTTCTCTTGTAGTATATTACAGTTCAGGCCATAGTCTTACTTTGATTTTTATGTTAGACTTTACTACTTGCTTTTTGTATACTGTTAAAAGCTTACATGAATTATTTTTTGACTTTTGTGTATTTTCGGTGTGTTCTTTTAAGGAGTAGTAGCCCAGGCTAGATCTGTTCTAGCATGGCACAACCGCTACCGATTCTGCCCAACATGTGGGAGTGCAACAAAGATTGAAGAAGGGGGTTACAAGAAAACGTGCCTAAAAGAAGATTGTCCCAGTCTCCAAGGTGTTCACAACACATCATATCCAAGAGTTGGTGAGAATATTGTAGGCTGAACTTGGTGAAAACTGGCTTGTTTGTACTGTTATATACAAATAAATCAATTTCTTTTTAGTTATTTCAGCTGCTTGCTTCTGTCCCAGGTCTTACGCACATACTCTGACCAGAGACAAGTATGTATCAGCTCCATTTAGGTTTAAATAGTTCAAGCTTCTCTTTCTTGCAATAGTGTGTGACAAAGAATTGCTGTGGCAATACCAATCTTTATTGCAATGGAGTAATATCAATTAGAAGTTGCAACAACATTAATATTAGAGTTATCAACAATACAAAGGGTCACATTTTATATTCCCCTGCCCCTGCATATTGTTTTCTCACTTTCTGGAAGCCGTCTGATCTTGAAGTAGCTATGTGTCAAATTTGGCCCTGTATCAAATTTCTGATACAGTGCTCATTTTCCTGTAGTGCCACTTTGACTGTATTAGCCATCTTCACTGCTTTCACTATTCCTTGTCAGTCGCAAACTGACAGGTCTGTTTCTACTCAGAATATAAGCTTGTATAGGCAGTCTTGTATAGCTCCTTTTGTTTGTGTTGCAAAGGAAATGCACTATGTTATTGACAAGGGAAATAAGAAGAAAAAAACCTTACCCTTTTTTTCCTGGATCGTTTGGTGACTCTTTGATCACCTTTCCTTCCCTCTCTTCTACAATTGTAGTTCTGGATGTTCTGTGTGTGTTGTATTTCTGAATTTCATGTTCTCTTATATGCTCTAGATACATCTTTGCAGTAATCAAAGCAATTCTGCCATATTCTTCTGTCTTAAGGACTATTGTGGAACTTGCTAAAATACTAGTTGCTCTTTCTTTACAGTCTCTCGCACAGCAAATGTAGAGAAGGAATGGGATTATATAGGAAAGACTAATAAACCAGCATATCCTACTGATGCCTTTCTCTGAAGAAAGTTCACAGACAGCAACACTTCATATTCAACATTCTGCCATGTGGCAGATAACTGAGCAGAACAACAACCTTCGAAATTATTGTTTATAGTGGTTGGTTAATCAAGCCTTTTCATACAGAAAAAATACTGGTGGTTTGCACAAAAAAAACCCATAAGAAACAATATCAAGAGAAAAAATACATAAAGGCAGAGGTAGATAGAAAAAGTTAAAAATGAAACATTGAGATACTTAAGAAATAGATAACAATAAAAGAGGAAAAAATATCATAGATGAACTGTGTGCAGAAAGGCATGACAAAAAGAATGATACGAATAGGAGAAAACACTAAGCAAGAAAGAAAAACATACTAAAGTTACCAGAAGTGTTAAAGTAGATAAAAGTGCAACATCAGATGAGGGACTGATAGCATTCAACAAAGTCAAAACTGGAAAATTTAGTCAGTATTTACAGTAAAACTAGAGTATCTGGCGCTTCTTTGGTATTTCAGTCAGAAGTACATTCTTCAGACCTGTGTGTCTAGAGGAGATGACTGTAAATTGTTTTTGCCGCAGAAATTATTGCCATCTGCTGGATGCATAGTAGGTTAGTATTGCTGGTACTCTTGACAGATTGTGTGCTTTGGTTGCAGGTAATTTATGTCCTGCATTTCAAGCCTTGGTTAATAAACTGCTTCTACTAAGCGTGCATGTTGCGAAACGAAATAAACAGATATCTAGCAGGGAAAAAAAACAACAAAGTGAAATAAAATAACAACTTGTTCTGGGCATGTCCACAATTCTGATTTCAGTCACTTGAAGATATCTTATTTACATGCATTGGTATCAAATAAGTGAAAATTTATTACTGCTTTTAGGTCCCTCAGATGGTGAAATATATTCCTTTCATGTCTCTTACAGATCCTGTTGTGATAATGCAAGTCATCCATCCAGATGGGAACCACTGCCTTTTAGGTAGGCAGAAGAGGTTTCCCCCAGGAATGTTTACCTGTCTTGCAGGATTTGTAGAACCTGGTGAGTAATTTGATTTTTCCCATACGAAATGTTTTTTCTCATTGTGGTGGGTTCACCGTAGCTGGATGCCAGGTGCCTACCAAAGCCACTCTTACCACTCCCTTTCTCAGCTGCACAAGGGAGAGAAAGTGTAACAAGAAGCTTGTGGGTCAAGATAAGGACAGGGAAAGGTCACTCACCAGTTACCATCACAGGCAAAACAGACTCAGCTTGGGGAAATTAGTTTGATTTGATTGGCAATCAAATCAGAGTAGGGTAATGACAAATAAAACCAAATCTTAAAACCCCTCTCCCCACCTTCCCTTCTTCCTGGGCTCAACTTACTCCTTATTTTTCTCTACCTCCTCCCCCCGCACGCACATGGGGACGGGGAATGGGGACTGTGATAAGTTCATCACGTGTTTCTGCCACTTCTTCCTCCTCATGCTATTCCCCTGCTTGAGCATGGGGTTCCTCTCACGGGAGACTGTCTTCCATGAGCTTCTCCAACGTGAGTCCTTGCCACAGGCTGCAGTTGTTCATGAACTGCTCCAGCCTGGTCTCTTCCATGGGGTGCAGCCCTTCAGAAACGGACTGCTCCAGTGTGGGTCCCCAGGGGGGTCACAAGTCACAGAATCGCAGAATCACTAAGGTTGG